ATAATAATATACAGTATGCAGACTCTGTGTATTTTCCATCTTTATGTGGCTTTTTTTCACTCTATTCCTTTTTTTAGGACCTTATCCTTTTTTTTCTCTTCCAAACCTACGTATATTTTTAAACATCTTATAGCCCATTAAGAGTTTTTTTTTCCATTTGAATCTGTTTTATTGTATATCTTTAATCCTTTTCTGACCAGGAGAGTTTTTAAACTAAGCCGTGTGGCTAGGACCAAAGCGGCAGCCCTGGCTGCTGGCTCTCGGCTCTTCAACATGGCGCAGGTACCAACAAGTCACGCTTACTTCCCCAATCCTGGGAAGCAGTATCAAGTAGCTTGCCTGTGGTTTTAAGCCCATAGCTGTGCTCCCAAGCCCGCAGGCATCAGCTGGGAGAAGCCTCTTTGTATCGTGGCCCATGAGAGACCATGGGAGTTCCCATGTTGCTGCTGAAGTGTGCAGCAGCCAGAGGATGCATCTCTGTACCATGGCCTGTGATGAGTGGTATGAACTAGGAAGCTGCTCTTGGCTCCATTCTAGGACCTTTTTTTTTTTTAAGCTCTCAGGTTTTATGTGGAAATTCTTGCCAAACGTCTGGGAGCCAATTGTAGACAGAAGCTTCTCAGTCCTACTTGGTCCCAGCCACCAGCAGCCATTTATATAAATTAACCTGTTTCTCTTCATCTCTTCATCTACATTTTACCTCAGTGCTTTCTACCATTCTTTCATTCCGTATGTCCTACTCCATGCCTGGCCTGCTGGTCCTCAGCATATCCACCCCCCTTCTCTCTCTCTCCCTCCTCCTGCTTATTCTCTGTGCCCACCAGCCTACCTGTCCCTCCTCTGCCTAGCTATTGGCCGTTCAGCTTTTTATTAGACCAGTCGGGTGCCTTAGGCAGGCAAGAACAGCAACACATCTTTATCTACTAAACAAATGCAGCATAAACAAATGTAACACGTCTTTGCCTAGTTAAAGTAATGTTCCACAGCAGATCTCAGGTTGCTTGCCATGGGTAGTAGAGTGAATCTAGTCTCTGATCTCAGTCACGAATGGACACAGACCGTCTGCAGTTTGCCTTGAAGGTCTTTCTTATAGGAGAGATTTTCTGAAAAATGTCACACACTTGCAGCTTATGCGTCCGGGAGTATTAGAAGAGCCATGGACCAAGGAATGTAGGTTGGAATCCTAAGCTGCACAGCTACTTAATTAACTTCATGTTTTCATACAGAAGCTCGCTCGTCACTTACTCTTTTCGTCTTTCTCTGTAGGCACCATACTGGACTTACTTTTTATGTGCCCTGGGACTCTTTATCTACCAGTCACTGGATGCCATTGATGGGAAGCAAGCCAGAAGGACAAACTCTTGTTCTCCTTTAGGAGAACTGTTTGATCATGGCTGTGACTCTCTTTCCACAGGTAATTAGTGGAGTTTCACTTTTTTTTTCTGTGATTTTCTTTTCTTTTTCTTTATAGGGTGTTTAAAAAAAAACAAAGTAACAATTTGCTTTTCAATGACAACATAAAAACCTCAGTGATCTGAGTTATTTGAGTTGTCAGTGTTTTTCTGAGGTATATATTTGGGAAGAGTTTTGCCCAGTGTGTTTTAAAAGGATGTTCATAAGTTCATTTTGTGCTAAAATGACCTTGTGAGGTTTCCAGCTCACCCTCACGCACAGAGCCTCCAACTCCCCTGGGTCAGATGGCTAAAACCCTCCCTTCTCTTAGTATGCAGGGGTGACAGCCCAGTGTCAGCGGGAGGTAGTTACCGAGAATGGATCTTTTCCCTCTCCAACCTCTTAAGGTTAAAAAGACAAAGTCCCTTGGGGGGAGAAGAAGTGGGCTGTACAGGCAGAGAGCGAGGAGGCAATTGCATGGTGTCTTCATAGTGGCTGGTACAACCCCAGAGCTACTTACTCCCCAAACTGAGGACCAAGATGACCCCGAGATGACCCCTAGGTGGCCCCTAGATGCCCTTTGCTTCAGTGTAATTCCATCTCCAAAATTTCCTGTTTCTGTCATGAATCTGATGCTATGATACATTCTGAAAATGACAACTAATGACAGGAAAGGCAAGTAACCCTAGAAAATCACAACTCATTCCTGGAATTTCCTCCTTTTTGTCCTCCTTAATTGAGGAATAATCCCACCCACCGCATAAAAGTTTGCCTATAAAGTGAACTATCCAAGATCCCAGAAGTGCAACTTCCTCACTAAAGCACCTACCCTTTGATGTGTTTTCCTGTTGTTTGTTTTGATGCTGAGGGTTGAAACTGGGGTCCTCTGCTTGCTAGACAGGTGGTCTACCACTGAGCACATCCCCAGGTCCACTTTACTTCTTGTTTTGACACAGGGTCTCACTAAGCTGTTCATGCCAGTCCTGAACTACTGTCCTTTTCCTAAGCATTTCTCTATCCTCCGTATGTAAATCACAAAAACAAACAGAACTCAATTTTGCATCATAAAAAAAGGATTCATTGTATTTTAATGCCAGGATTATGTCCCTTAAAACTGTATTTCTGCCGGGCGGTGGTGGCGCACACCTTTAATCCCAGCACTTGGGAGGCAGAGGCAGGCGGATCTTTGTGAGTTTGGAGGCCAGCCTGGTCTACAGTGCGAGATCCAGGAAAGGTGAAAAGCTACACAGAGAAACCCTGTCTCCAAAAAACCAAAAAACAAACAAACAAACAAAAAACCTGTATTTCTAAACAGGATACCTCAATATTTGGTGTCTTAGTTAGGGTTTTCATTTTTGTGAAGAGACACTATGACCACGGCAACTCTTATAAAGGAAAAACATTTAAAGGCTAGCTTACGATTTCAGAAGTTTAGTCCAGTGTCATGCAGGCAGACATGGTACTGGAGAAGGAATGAAGAGTGGAGAGGGAACTAGATTTTGATCCCACAGGCAACAGGAAGTGGTCTGGCACACTGGGCATGCTTGAGCATCTATGAGACCTCCACACACTTCCTGCAATAAGACCACACCCACTCCAGCAAAGCCACATCCTCTAATAGTGCCACTCCTTTGGGGACCATTTTCTTTCAAAGCACCATACTTGGTTTTCTTTATTTATTTTGGTGTCTCAAGACAGGGTTTGTTTCTCTGTGTATCCCTGGCTGTCCTGGAACTCACTCTGGACCAGGCTGGACTTGAACTCACAGAGATCCGCCTGCCTTTGCCTCCCGAGTGCTGAGATTATAAACTTTGTTTTTCAGTATTTATGGCCATTGGAGCTGCGGTTGCTGTCCGCCTGGGAACACATCCTGATTTGTTGTTTTTCTGCTCCTTTATCGGGATGTTCATGTTTTACTGTGCTCACTGGCAGACTTACGTCTCAGGGGTGCTGAGATTTGGAAGGTAAGCATTTTCTTTTTTTCTTTTTCTTTTTTCTTTTTTTTTTTTTTGGAGCTGAGGATCGAACCCAGGGCCTTGCACTTGCTAGGCAAGCGCTCTATCACTGAGCTAAATCCCCAACCCTGGTAAGCATTTTCTTAAGTTCTACATTTTAAAATACAACCAAATTCATTTTTATAATCTTTAGTGGCATCTGCCCACCTTAAAGAAGACAAGCTCTGTTCAGTAATTAAAACTCTTCTAATTGGCCAGGCGGTCGTGGCAAACACCTTTAATCCCAGCACTCGGGAGGCAGAGCCAGGCGGATGGATCTCTTTGGGTTAGAGGCCAGCCTGGTCTACAGAGCACTGTCCAGGACAGGCTCCAAAACTACACAGAGAAACCCTGTCTCGAAAAACAAAACAAAACAAAAGACTCTTCTAATGTATTGGAATGTCCATCTGTGCTACACGCAGAGCTGTCTGGTATCCCGTGTGTTGTAGTTACATTATTTGACAACATTTTTTTCTTCTAACTTTCTCAGACTTCCTAGTTCAAGGTTAGGATAGAGTAAAATAAGTACCCAAACAATATATAGTACCTAAATCTAAATACTATTTGGCCATAAAATAATATGATGTTGAATGGAAGGATTGTTGTTGTTGCTGAGTTTAAGGAATTTTAAACAAAACAAAAAATTCCTTTGATACGGTTTTATATGTAACCCTGACTGGCCTGGAATTAACTGTGTGGACCAGGCTGGCTTCACACTCAGAGATCCAATTGCCTCTACTAAGTGCTGGGATTAAAGGATGTGCCACCATGCCCAGAGAAGGATGATTTTTTCTTTTTGGTCAAATTATCATCTACCCAGATAGAGGGACCCCCTTGATCACAGTCACCAATAACAGATGATCTAGAGACTCAGCTGTGGGACACAGGGGAGCTCACATGAGAACATACCCTAAAGATGCCAGAGCTGCCCATTGCCCGTACATACGACTTGAGAGGCTCCTCCTGAGACACCAGAGAAGAGTGCAGACAGATGCTGCTCTCTCTGTCTGCTGAGGATTTGCTGATTTCACTCCTTCCCTTCTCAGAAACTTCATAATTTTGTCAAGTTTAATAATCCTTTCAGATTTTTTTCTTTTTCTTTCTTTTTTGTTTTTGTTTTTGTTTTTGTTTTTGAGACAGGGTTTTTCTGTGTAGTTTTGGTGCCTGTCCTGGATCTCGCTCTATAGACCAGGCTGGCCTTGAACTCACAGAGATCCTCCTGGCTCTGCCTCCCGAGTGCGGGGAGTAAAGGCGTGCGCCACTATCGCCTGCAGATTTTTTTTCTGGTCTCGAGAATTATAACAGGGTCAGAGATGCGTCTCAGTTGGTAAAGTGCTTGGCGTGTAAACAGGAAGACCTGCGTTCATCCTCCAGCACCCACACAGTAAAAAGCGGGGCATGGTGGCAGTGCTGGCCTTCTCAGGGCTGGGGAGCAGCCGTGAGAAGATGCCTGGGGCTGACATAATTTTAGTTAAAAGCTTGTGGTGAAGTTCAGTTCTCATACTGAATGTAAAGTAAAGAATGCTCTTTACTTCCATCTGACGAAAGTTCATTCTATAATGTCTACCCACTTTTCTAGCTGCTTCTGGTCCCTAGTTAAAACCCTTAAGAGTTACGGATAGATCACATATAATTCTATTATTGTTATTGAAATATTGCCACACAGATAATGAGTCATAAGTGCTGTATGTAAGAGTGTTGACGCTAAGGTCGTTTTTCTAGGATCGTTAACTGTTCCGATACAAAGAAAAAACTCAAAACAGAAGAACAGCACGAAATAATTTATAGGTTGTGTAACACATGAGGTCTTTAGCAAACGTTAGTATTTCTCCTTCTTAGTGAGTTTACCTTTGTAGCCGTTTCTCCAGGTAGTCTGGAAGTTCGGGTTTGCTTGCCATTGATGTTGCGAATACTGAATGTTATTATTCACATTTTTCTTTTATTTGTGTGTTAAGAGTAAGTCCTTTTATTCTTTTAATTGCACCCCAAATAACACAGTTGAGAAATTTTCTTCCATATCATTTTTTAAAACTGAATCCCTACATTTATTATATTTGCTAAGAAATTATCATTCCTCTCGTATCTAAGCAGAGATGTGAAGTAGGAAGAGAGATATAAAAATTTGGAATTCAGGGGAAAAGATGCAGATTGGAGATACGGATTTAGCATGTAAGGGGATAGCCTTAAGTAGAGAGAAAATTATTCAGAAGATATAAAGTTGCAATAAAATTCTGGAACTAGCGTTTTAAGATATGAATGAAGAATGCTCCAGAACAGACTGCTTAAGCCGTTTTCTACTCATAACCCCTTTACTCCTGAGAAATGACTATGTGTAATATGGATATATGTAGGCTTATAAAATGGGTAATCAAACACTGACTGGTAACAAATCATAAGGAATTTTATTATAAAACAGCTACATAAAAATTTATGATTTATTACAAAGAAAAGCAGTGGGATTGTAGAGATGGCTCAGACCTGGGTTTGGTTCCCATGACCACTCACAGCTGTCTGCAACTCCAGTTCCAGGGGATCAGCGCCCTCCACAGGCACCAGGCATGCAAGCGGTGCACAGACACGCATGCAGACAAGACACCGAGACATAAAGTAAAATAGTAAAGACAAAAGCAGATTAGCATTCTAAAGAGTTAGATGTGCTCATTTATTTTTACCTAAAGAATAAATCTTGACTGAATATTTGATACTGAAGGACATAGAGCATCTTAAACATTTTCAGAGTCAATCATTTATTTGTTTTGTTTTTTGTTTTTTTTTTGTCATTTTACATAAATACATAATACAAAATGCCAGAAGTATATTTAAGGCCATATACAAATGACTGGTGTGCTGGTCTGAGTAACAATAGCCCCTAAGGCTCTCAAACTGGAATGCTTGGTCATCAAGGAGTGGCACTGTTTGAAGAGATTAGGAGGTGTGGCCTTGTTGGAGGAAGTGAATCACTAGGGGTAGACATTTGGGTTTCAAATGCTCAAGCCAGGCCCAGTGTCTCTTGCTGTTGCCTCCTGATCTGAATGTAAAACTCACAGCTACCTCTCCAGCACCATGTCTGCCTGTGTGATGCCATGCCCTGCCATTGTGATAATGGACTAAAACTCTGAACCTGTAAGTGAGCCCCAATTAAGTGTTTTCCTTTGTAAAACTTGCCCTGGTCATGGTGTCTCTTCATAGTAATAGAACGTTGGCTAATACAGAAGTTGGTACTAGGAGTGGGGTGTTGCTGTGACAGGCCTGAACATGTTGCTTGTTGGTAGAATGGCGGACTTTGGGAGTTTGGATTAGGAAAGCAGCTGAATGTTTTAAGTGGGACTTAATGGACTGTATTAGTAGTAGCAGGGAAGACCATGCCGAGAGCAATGTAGATTATAATGGCCTGGCCAAAGAGGTTTCAGAGAAGAATATTAATAAGTGGCCTAGAGATAGTTCTTGTGATGTTTTGGTGAAGAATGTAGCTGCTTTTTTGCCCATGTCTAAAGAGTCTATCTGAGGCTAAATTGAAGAGTTTTGGATTAATGGCATTGGCAGGGATTTCAAAACAGCTTAGTATTGACTGTGTTGCTTGGTTATTAGTGGTCATTTGTATGCAAATCTATAACAAAAAGGAGCAAGCTGAGCAAGGAAAAATATAAAATGCACAGTTTGAGGAGAGAAGGGGCACCAGGGAGTACAATCGAGCTAAGTTCAGTGCTTGCTTAACGAGATAAAAAATTTGAAGAAATGTCTGATGCTAAATGGAATAAAGGGATTGGTGATTTCAGGGCAAGGCCTCACCCGGCTAAGTTTCCAACTTGTGAAAGAAATTTTTTAAAAAAGCTTAGGGCCAGTCATGGTGGTACGAGCCTTAATCCCAGCACTGGGGAGGCAGAGACAGGTGGATCTCAATGCCAGCCTGGTCTACAGATCCAGTTTCAAGACAGCCAAGCTTAGGCAGTGAAGGAAACCATCACAAAGAGAAAGCTGGTGAAGATGTAAATTGAACTAAGGGCCATGCTCCAGCCCCAGAAAGCAGAACTTGGCAGCTTCAGCCACTTGGTCCTGGCTTTAGAGTCAAGGATACAAGAAAAGGGTTGTAGAATCTTCTTCCGTGGCTAAGGGAAGCTGCAGAGACTAGAGGTGTTTCTGTGTGGAGGCTCAGAGAGGTCAGTGCATGAAATCTCTGAAGGTGGAGCCTGGATTGTGTTGGAGACCCCACGATGTTGAAGATGCCCGAGTTGTCGGATACTTGCCAAGGAGAGCTGCTAACAGGGAGTGGAACCACTCGAGAGAAGTGTGTTTTACAGTCAGTAAAGCTGAAAGGAGTTGGAGATCTGAAAAGCATTTTGACATCAGACATGGAGATGCAGAGTTTGGAGTTTGCCCAGCTGGTTTTAGGTGTCGCTTTGGTTCAGTATTTCTGCTTGTTTCCTTTCCTCCTTTGTGAAATGGTAATGTATATCCTGTGCCCTTGTATGTTGGAAGTATGTGATCTGCTTTTTTATTTTAATTTTATAGGGGGTTACAGTTAAAAGATTGTCATGAGTCTCAGAAGAGACTTTGAACTTTGGACTTAAACAGTTTTGAGACTATACAGACTATGGGGACTTCTGGAGTTGAACTTAAATGCATTTTTGCATTATGGTGACTCCAAGCCTGTGGGGGTCAGGAGTGGACTATGGTTTGAATAAGAATACCCCCATAGGCTCACAGATGTGAATGTTTGGTCACCAGGGAGTGGCACTGTTTGAAGGGATTAGGAGGAGGTGTGGCCTTGTTGGAGTAGGTGTGGTCTCTGGAGGAAGTGAGTCACTGGGTGTGGCTTTGGGGTTTCAAATGCTCAAGTCAAGCCCAGTGTTTCTCTCTTGCTGCTGCCTGCCAATCCTGATGTCAAACTCTCAACTCCTGCCCTCTCCAGCACTGTGTCTGCCTACGTACTTGCCATGCTTCCCACTAAGATGATAATGGACTAAACCTCTGAAACTCTAAACCAGCCCCAATTAAATGTTTTTCTTTGTAAGATTTACTATGATATGGTGTCTCTCTACAGCAATAGAAAATTGACTAAGACAACTGAAAATCCTTTCATAATCCTAAACCAAGCTTCATCTAATGCCCTTTTGAGAGACTCAAGTCAGTAACTCAAACAGAAATGTTTAAAGTCATATATTCCAACACAACACAGTCATTGATTTGATACTTACATGTTGAGAAATGATTAGAACAAACTATTGCCTATTTTTTGTAATTAAACTGCTTGTGTTTCTATAAAAGCAGGAAACGTCCTATGTGCAATAAAAAGTACTGCGATTTATAATGTACAGAAGTCCTGAATCTGAACCAAGGCATTCAGGTGGTGTCTATTAGTACCATGTGGCATGTGCAGCGCCATGTGTGCATGTTGGGGTTCAGAACCAAGGCTTCAGTGGCACCCTGGGTGAGCACAGCAGAAATACCCAAGAGTCATCAGTTGTTGATTTTGAATTATTTGTTGCAGAACTTCCAGAAGCTTTATACTATTGCCGATTTTTTTTCAGCAGCCCCATGTGGGTTTGCAACCATAGTTGAGAAGCTGAGTTCTAGAAGGGAGCCTGAGAAGAGACCTAGCAAGGTCAAAATGTCACAGCAGAACACAGAATCAAAATCCAGCAAAGCCAAAAAGATAAAAAACAAAAAAACAAACAAACAAAAAAAAACAACAAACAAACAAAACAAAACAAAAAATCCAGCAAAGCAGTTCAAAAAGGAGAGAATGAGCCTCATCTTAAATATTGTAAACAGGTTATGTAAGATAATTGCTAAAATTGAATCGTTGAGTAATGGAAAGTCACTTGGGGATGTAGCTCAGTGCCTAGCGTGTGTAAGGACGTGGATTCAGTCCCCCACACTGGGAAACAATCCATTTGTTTAAGTGATTTCAGTAGAGTATTGGGGCCAAAGGCTGGACTACAGTGCGATAAAGAGTGTGCATCTACAGAGGGAGAGATTACCAGGGTGGACTAGTCTCTCAGTCCTGAACTTCTTCCTGAGAACAGGGAGGGTTCTACAGTTTGGAGCACATACCAGAGGGACTCAGGTTGCTTGGTTAGTGCCTTTGTTTGAGAGAAATTGAAACATGTCTATATATGAGGCAAAAATACATCTGTAGAAACCAAAAAGCTATGGCATTGGTAACTTAATAAGGAAAGCTGTTAGAATTCTGTCTACTTCATAAGTGAAATTAACTTAAAGGTATAAGAATTTGCCTTAGGTGAGGCTGGAGAGATGGTTCAGCAGTTAAGAGCACTGGCTGTTCTTCCAGAGGACTCAGGTTGGTTTCCAGCACCTGCTTGGCAGTTCACAACCATTTGTAACTCTACTTCCAAGGGACCTGACACTCTTCTGGCCTTCATGGGCACAAGGCATACATATGGTGCATATTATGAAGGCAAAACACCCGTACACATAAAATAAAATAAATTAAAACAAATGGGACAGACAAGATGGTTTAGTGGGTAAAGGTGATTGCTGCCAAGCCTGATGACCTGGGTTTGATTCCTGGGACGTACGTGGTAGACAGAACCGACTTCCTCAGGTTGTTTTCTGATTTCCATGGCACATACACTACACTACACACCTGCACCTACACCTACACAGACACACACACACACATTAAATAATTGGATTAAAAATGTAATTAAAAAAGTGAACCCTGATCACCAAGAAGAGGAGGAGGAGGAGGAAGAATTTGCCTTAGGACTGGGGACGTGGCTCAGTGGGTAAAGGGCTTGTTGCACAAGTATGAGGGTGTGAGTTCAAATCCCAGGTCCCACATAAAGCCAGGCACAGCAGCAGCTGTCTGTAGTCACAGTACTTCCATCGCTAGACGGGAGGTGAAGAGAGGAGAACCCCAGAAACCTGCAGGCTCTCTAGCCTGGCATGTGCAGCAGCAGATAACAGAGAGACTGGTTTCCAACAGGATGCAAGGTGAGGCCCAATGCCTAAGGTTGTCCTATGACCTCCACATGCTCCTACACTTATGTGTCATACTTACCAATAACAACAGCAATAATAATAATTTTCCTTAAGTCATAATGATTATTTATGTATTTTATGAGTCTTTTGTGATTTTTAAGACTAACACTTCTTTTGAAAAATTCAAACCACACAAGTACATCAAGTAGAGAATAAGTCTCTTGTTTCTGTAGTTTCAGTAACTCCTTGCAATCTGATACATGTTACACGGTAATTTTTGTCTGCCTATACTGGTATTTACCTGTGTGAGAACAAATGTTCTTTTCTACCTAGCACAGTCAGCTGATACAGAATTTAGTGATGGGCGTAAAAAACTGAAAACCAACAGGTCTATATGATTTCTTTACATCTGTGCCATAGAGTGTGTGATAACTCAGTTCATGTTCAAGAACTTTGTTTACAGACACTTACCTGCTCTTTGTTCTTCCTCTGTAGAGTGGATGTAACTGAGATTCAGGTAGCTTTAGTGATCATCTTTATATTGTCTACATTTGGAGGAGCAACAATGTGGGACTATACGGTAAATCTAAATGTTTAAATTTACATTTAAGTGCTTTTTATGTACATAGGAAGATAGATCGTTGCCTGTCTTTAGAAATCCTTGGAGTTATAGTTAATTCATTCTCTTTTGTAAGCTTTCTTTCATTTGATAATATTAATATCCTATATGCTCTATTTACATGACTTTTTTTCTGTAATGAATGTTTTATTGCATAGAAAATGTCCCTATTTTCCTAGTACAAAAGAGAAAAAAAATCTATTGAAACTACCTTTCCTAGGGCAAAATTTATCACATAAAACAAATATTTTTAAAACAATTAGTAAAATATATTTGAAATTTGTCCCTAAATATCCTCTACCTCAATGCATATACATCATGCATACATACACACACACATACACACACACATACACACACACATACACACACACACACACACACACACACACACACACACACATTTTTAAAAATCAAGTCTTACTTAAAAACAATGGGAAGGTTCCCTGTGGCACTTAACTATTTCAGATCTTCAGTTACTTCACACCTGCAAGCTCAGACACAGACTTTCAGCGTACTCTCAAGTAGTCATACTTTCCTCAAGACATTCTGACTCCTTCCCATCTGAACCATACAATCAAGGATAGTCCACTGTTGAACTGAATCCACTGGATGCTGAACGTGGACCAAGAAGCAGCTGACAGTTCTAGTCACTAAGTCAGGTGTGGGTGGCTTCAGTTTGTAACTGAAGCTTAAATTTGTTTCATTCAGGGTATTTCGGCAATAGCATGAGGAAAAAACACACCTTGGTCTCACAAACTATGATACTTGACTGCTTTCTACATTTAGTTGTTAACCTATAATGTCCATAGATTTTGGTATCATCTCTCGAAGTCTATTTTCAAAATACACTAGCTATAGCACCTAGCAATTCATTGTTACTGTTTTTAAATCCTTTGCTGCCTTTGGAAGTTGTCTTGAGCAACAGTTGACCAACAGGTAAATATATTGCTGGAGGTTTAATCCTGGATATTTTAACTACACAGTTTTTTGCATGCACACACGGTATTCATCACATGTAGAGTGCAGACCGCTGGATCTGTCTTTTCTGTGATGCTGCCTTTTAGGAGCTGCTGAATTGCAGTGAACTATCCTTTTTCATGTTTAAGTCAGATAAGGCTTGTGAAACGAACTATTTGAGTATGATCCTCTACACAGACTGAACTGATTTGTTGATTCGTTTTTTTCAGTTAGTAAAGCAATCCTAGAAAAGTTCCATCCAGTTCTTATTGAAGAAGCTGAGGTTTGATTTTGCGAAAAAGGATAGCCTATTGTACACCACCAGGTCATGTTTCTTTCTATTTAGTAGGGAGAGAAACTCAATTTTCTTAATGATTTGTTTGTTTCCTCTACCCCTAAAGATACCTATTCTAGAAATAAAACTGAAGATCTTTCCAGTTCTTGGAGTAGTAGGTGGAGCAATATTTTCCTGTTCAAATTATTTCCATGTGATCCTCCATGGTGGTGTTGGCAAGAATGGATCTACTATTGCAGTAAGACATTGTTTTCATCATCTTTCAATATTAATATATAATAAATTTTCATTATAAAAGATATCCAAATACCTCAAACTCAAGAATGGAGAAAGAAACCAGTTACCTTGAAGAGTTCATTTTAGACACATAACACAAAAGCATTTAAAAAAACAGCTTAGAGCCGGGCGGTGGTGGCTCATGCCTTTAATCCCAGCACTCAGGAGGCAGAGCCAGGCGGATCTCTGTGAGTTCGAGGCCAGCCTGGGTACCAAGTGAGTTCCAGGAAAGGCGCAAAGCTACACAGAGAAACCCTGTCTTGGAAAAAAACCAAAAAAAAAAAAGCTTAGATTTAAAGCATTTTTCTTTCTTGTAGTGTTTTATTTTTGCACATAATAACCATAGTCATCATCAGTGCCGTTCATTTTCTTTCATTTTGTGCCTGGATCAAGCCAGCATCAAGGAGATTGGAGCATGGGATCTTGATTGAATGATAGGAAAGGTGCCAAAGGTCAAAGGTTTCATAGATGGGAGAATTTATTACTTATAAATTTGTATTGACATTTTACTGAAATTTACTTAAAGGTACTCTAATGATTTTGATTTAAATTTTAACCTCAATTCTTGAGTACATATGCCTGTCTTTGTGTTCTTTATATTTGCTTATGCTATCATAATTTGTAGATTTATTCGTATTTGTTTTAAAAAGTCAGTATTTTTTTTCTATTTAAAAATATTTTTATTTTATCACTTTTTTCTTTTTCTTTTTTTATTTTATAATTTAATTTAATTTTACATATCAGTCACGGATTCCCTTGTTCTCCCCCCTCTACCCCCCCCAGCCCCCCCCATTCCCATCTCCTCTAGGGCAAAGACTCCCCTGGGGATTCAGTTCAACCTGGTAGTCCAGGCAGGTCCAGTCCCCTCCTCCCATGCTGAGCCAAGTGTCCCTGTATAAGCCCCAGGTTCCAAACAGCCAACTCATACACTGAGGATAGGTCCCGGTCCCACTGCCTGGATGCCTCCCAAACAGATCAAGCTAATCAACTGTCTTACTTATCCAGAGGGCCTGATCCATTTGGGGGCTCCTCAGCTATTGGTTCATAGTTCATGTGTTTCCATTCGTTTGAAAAAGTCAGTACTTTTAAGGAAAATAAAGATAGAACTTCAGATACTTTTAAATAAATGTGATATCTCCATTTTTAAAAAGTCTAATAATATCTTCAAGATAGTTGACCATAAGAAGATAGTACTTATTCAAGTGATGACATTTTATAACAAAACTATTAGAATGGCTTTTAAGAATTACTTTAAACTGTTGCATTCTATGACTCAAAAATTTCTGTCCTTAAAGGATTTATTGACTTAAAACAAGGTTTCATTTTTTGTTTGTTTTCTTGAGGCAGGGTCTCTCTATGTAACCCTGGAAGTCCAGAAACTTGCTGTGTAGACCAGACCAACTTCACACTTACCAGCTAGAACAAGATTTAATTACCAAGAGAGACACAGTATTTTTAGTTACAGGAATTCTCATTTTCCCATCACTTGTAAATTGGCTCTCAAGACAGTTTCAAAAGTCTCCCATAATTGATTCTTAAATTTTAATGTATCATTTATAATTCAAAAGCAAATTATAAAATTCATTTAAATGTGCAGATTCTGATCTGCTTATAAAGACTCATGTTTTGGTTTTCTCTGCTAACCTTTGAGAATTTATTGGTGCTTTTCAACATGGTTTTTGTGAAACATTATGATCTGCTGTTATATATCTTTTTTCTGTATTCACAGATCTACATTTATTATCAGTCATACTTTATACTACCTTTTGATGACATTAATTTTCATTTTTGAAGAAATTAAGAACAAAGTTTCAAAATAAAATTTTTAGTCTAGAATCCTTATAATAAAACAGAAAATGACAATGTTTGCCATGTAATATAACATGTGCAGTGTTAAAATGTGGTGATTAAGTATTTTGCTTTTATCCCTTAGGGTACCAGTGTCTTGTCACCTGGACTCCACATAGGATTAATCATTATATTGGCAATAATGATCTATAAAAAGTCTGCAACAAATGTGTTTGAAAAACACCCTTGCCTTTATACCTTAATGTTCGGATGTGTCTTTGCTAAAGTTGCACAAAAATTGGTGGTAAGTTTTTTTATGATTCATGATATATAAATAGTATAGCCTTCTACAAAGCTGGAAACAATTTCTTACAAAATGTTGGTTTTCCTTTGCAACAAATAGCTGTTTGTGTTCCAGGTAAAACTATGAGTTAATAGTATAGTCAATTCCTTTGTTCCTCAGTAATAGTCAAGTATAACTTTCTGATGTCAAGGAACTTAAATATTAGGACTTTTAATAAGCTATCTGCTCATGAACTTGAGATGTACATTCAATATTCCTTTATCAAATATGAAATGAAGTAGACTTGTCTTAATAGTGAATTAATGTCATAAATGTGTCCTGAAAATTAGAGCAAAAACATTTAAAACTTAATAGTGAAATTATTTTATTTGCATTTTTATAGATAGCTCACATGACGAAAAGTGAACTCTATCTTCAAGATACTGTCTTTGTTGGTCCGGGTCTTTTGTTTTTAGACCAATACTTTAATAATTTTGTAGATGAATATGTTGTTCTATGGATAGCAATGGTAAGTACATTTGAGCTTTTTTTCTTTTTTTTAAGATTTATTTATTTATTATGTGTACAGCATGTATGACTGCAGGCCAGAAGAGGGCACCAGATCTAATTACAGATGGCTGTGAGCCATCCATGTGGTTGCTGGGAATTGAACTCAGGACCTCTGGAAGAGCAGTCAGTGCTCTTAACCTCTGAGCTATCTCTCCAGCCCACATTTGAGCTTTTAATATGCCGGCTCAAAGTTTAAGAACCATTTTCAATGAGACTATATATTTATGTATGATATATAGTCAGTATCTCTGTATGTTTTAATTTAATTTACTTTTTTTTAAAAAGATTTATTTATTATGTATATACAGCATGTATGACTGCAGGCCAGAAGAGGGCACCAGATCTAATTACAGATGGCTGTGAGCCATCCATGTGGTTGCTGGGAATTGAACTCAGGACCTCTGGAAGAACAGCCAGTGCTCTTAACCTCTGAGCCATCTTTAATTTACTTTTAATCTATGAATCATTTTATACTATGTGTAGAAGTAGAAGTGATTGGCGTATCTGAGAAGTCAGGCTTCCAACAACCTAGATCATGGAAATTCAGCTGTGTACCTAAAGATAACTCTTTTCTCTCCCCCAAATCAGAACAGACATTTAAAAAAACATTCCACTTTGCCCACGACTTTCCAACTTTACTTAGGCTTATTAAAGTTATCCTCAGCTTCTATCAGGTAACAAACCAATTGGATGGGTTTGGTGTTAGCACTTAGTGTTGGAGAAACAGAACAGATATAACATGTCTCAGGATAAGATTTGAAGACTAGCTTATGTTTGAGGTAAGCAACCTTGAATATGGCCAGAACCTCCCCCAAAAATGGGGGGAAAAAAATCAAACACCTATTTTTTGTTGTTTTGGTTTTTTGAGACAGGGTTTCTCTGTGTAGCCCTGGCTCTTCTAGAACTCGCTCTGTAGACCAGGCTGGCCTCAAACTCAAGAGATCCACATGCCCCTGCCTCCAAAGTGCTAGGATCAAAAGTGTGCACCACCACCATCTAGCTAAAGCGCCTATTTGTAATAGTAATTGGCCTGATTTACACCAACAATAGAGCAGTCTGATGAACTGAAAATGTTAATTTTTTTTATTTAAAAACACTATGTGAAAGACAATTTAGATACACAAAACATGGGTCAAACAGAACATCTATGGTCCATGGTATCTTTAGGGGAAAGCTTTCTGAAGGATAGATAGTATTTGACTTTTTAATTTCTAGGCAGTATCATAGACCTTTTCATCTTTTAATACAGCGGAACTTGATGTATGCTTCCCTTGACTAGTTTCCTTTCTAGGCCTTTTAGGTTCTTAAATATCAAAGGAATAAAAATATGTCAACAACCCATTCTAATAGGAAATCCGTGGCTTCATTGAATGGCATAAAGTTGGGAGAGTGTAGAGTCAGAAGATAGTGTGTTGGAATATTAATTTAGGATGTGTTACATTTGTTTATGCTGTGGAATATTTGCTTAATGACGCAAAGATGTGTCACATTTATTTAAATTAAATTAACCTGCAGTCAGGAGGCTGAATCAGCAATTAGCTGATAGGAAATGGTAGGGAGGAACCATGTGTAGCTAGGGTTCTTAAGTGGGGGCGGAGCAGAAGGATGCTGGTTTTTGGGGAGAAGGAGAGGTTAGCTAGCAGAATTTCACTCAGCCTTTAAATCCTGAGTCCTTTAGAGGGGTAGGGATTTAGATAGTTTCCTTTAGTGGCCTTCAGAGGGCAGTACCTGAGGGAACAGAATTCCCGTAGTAGCTGCTGCCCTTTTGGTCTAACCACTGCTGGTAGCTGCAGATTAGGACAGCGGTTGCTTAAAGGGCAGCCACTGAAATTATATGAAAAACAACTTAAGTTCTTCTACTTTAGAGCATTTGTACTTTAGTCTTTTTACCTATGTTTCAATTTCTGTAATACCCAGAATATCTAGACATTGTGGCACAAGCCTGTAATCCCAGTACTTGGGAAACTGAGGCAAGAGAGGTGACATGAGTTAAATGCCAGCCTGGGCTAATGACTAAAAGGCCAACCAGGACTATATAGCAAGACTCTGTTTAAAAAAAAAAAAGCAACCCACTAAGGATGTAAGATTTAAGTATGAGAGTTATAAAGAGTACTCTAAAATACAGTATTTTCAGTTAGCAAGTTGGGGCTGATATAAAAATTGTATTTTTAGAAAAGATGAACCATAACCCATTTTATATTTTCTTTTTTTGCTTCCAAAGGTCATTTCTTCATTTGATATGATGATATACTTTAGTTCTTTGTGCCTGCAAATTTCAAGACACCTTCATCTAAAAATCTTCAAGACTTCATATCAACAAGCACCTGAACAGGTTCACAAGCATATTGACTGACTAGTAGCCCAAGGAAAAGAGGAGGAGCAGTTAGGGGACCTATGTGTGAAGGAAATCCCCCTATGCAGGAGGCTAGTATATTATCTATAAGGTTATGTTTAAATGTAAAACATAAATCTAGTAGTTTCCATTATGTCTGTCAGTAATGAATCCCTTTTGTCATTAACGTATTTTATCACTGACATCAGTATAATATAATGTCTGTATTAGAAACAAGAACAAAAAATTAATGTGAATACCAAGGACGGTAAGAAATTGAACCCCAATAATTTAAATAAGCACTGTGTCTACAATATACCTATCAGACTTGGGGTTTTGACTGCCAAAGGATTAAACAAATATTCAGAACTTAAAAATAGTTCTAGCCTTCTTGGCAGTGACCTTTGATTGATGCAAGTTGAAAAGTGAGCTCAAATACTAAGTATATAACAATAATACTATAATTGAGTCAAGTGATACACTGAGAAATATTTTTATATAACAGCCATTGTTTAAAAGAGGTATGCTAATTATAGAAAGATATAATTGAGTCTACTATCTAGAATTTAAAACAGTGGTTATGGGAATTTTGTTCTAATTTGTACTTGGTAAAAGGAATCTGTTGTATCAGTTGGGCATAATGTGAACCTTTGAGTGTAACCTTGTGCCTTAGTAGTCCAAGTAAAAAAATTCACTTCCATGAAAAAAATGGACCTTAAGTCCCCAAAGGAAGACAAAAAGTAGCTAAAATAATTGACAGGAAATTAGTAACTTAGAAAAAAACAAGTGTCAGTTATTCAACACTAAACATATTAGGTACTACTGACTTTTTTCTATTCTAGTTGAAAAATGCTTAAGATTTTCTTTATAAATACTAGAATTATCTTAACACTCTTCAGACCTTATGACCCATATGACCTTATTTCTAATTTCACACAAAAGTTCCATAGGCTATATGCCATATGATGAAATAATCAAATACACATGTACTTTAAGTATTCCAAGCAAGAAAAGGAGATTTTTAAGTATATATTTCTCAAAAGGTTAAAAATATGTGAATACAGAGAAAACCCTCTGAAGTACTTACTTTGCCTCTTTACTGCCTGGTAAACTTCTGAAAGATCTTAAAAGTTTGAATGATTCTTAAGGTTTATATTCCATGTTGCAGACATAGCTAAGTGGAAGAATGAATGCTTAGCATGGGTGAGGCCCTGGCTTGATCCACCAGCAACACCATGTGCCCACCCCCCAAAAAAGTATTTATAAAGAATTGAACTGTCCTTTTAATGTCAAAGCTAATGGTAGAAGGATAATTGCTTCCTAGAAGATAAAAAGATAGTGTTATATAGACTGTTTAAAAGGGTGGGTTATGAACAAAAAGAGATTGTTGCTTTCCTTCAAATGGGATGTTTTGTTGTTCTGAATGATTCATTGAAGGCAGTTTCAGCAAAACTAGTAAGTTTAACTGACTTCAAAGAAATGTTGAAGCAATTCAACATGTATGAAATTGAGTTTAAGTTTCTCTGTATAAATGCCTATTTTAAAAGTTACAAAGTTGAAGTTTGGAAATGAATGTGAAATCAAGCTTCAGTATATTTACTGAATGTTACAATGGAAAAGGCAACTAGGTAATTCATATTTGAAAACAGATATGAAATACTTAGACCATAAATAACTTTAGCTGTGTTTGTGATAATACTTTTAATCATTACTAAGGGCATGTGTCATTTAAGTACAGACCAGCCCAATTAAATGGTATCTTGTTGACCTTGAAATATTATGAAATATTCATGAATATATGTATTAAAAACTAATACTTATATTTTCAGGTGTATTAATGATTTTATAGCATTTATAATTTATTCCAAGACACACTAAAGTTCTTTTTAATAAACTGTATAGTAGATTCGTTTTTTAGAATTGGTGATCTATTGTTTTAGTAAACATAAAGATGTACACATAAAACAGATTCTGTGGGTTTTTTTCCTTAAAGGAGAACAGTGTAAGCCAGGAGTAGTGGCATGCACTTGTTCCTGCTACTTGAGAGGCTGAGGTATAAGGATCACTTACTCCCAAAAGTTTGAGACTAAGCTGGGCAAGAGGGTTAGACCGTTTCTTAGAAACAAAACAACCATCCATTCTTGGAACTTTGTACCTTAGAACTGTTAAGAGATACACTGAAACCAAACGTTAAATTTAAATCATTTTTATTGTGACAGTAGTGGACATTGAAATAACTGCTACTTACACAGCTGTTTAGGTTTATTTAGAAGTTAACAGGAACAAAAGTCTTCCACTTAAACAAGCTAATGATTACGGATGTTATAGTTTATATAATTTCTAAAGGCATGTCATAGCTAATGTTTTAATTGTATCATATTACATAGGTTCAAGTTCTTTCTTCAAAGACTCATCAGAATAACATGGACTGAAGAGACTTTCGAACATTTGCCATCTCTTGCTGCTGCTGTTTCATGAAAGGAGATATGAAACGTTTAATTTTTAGTTAAATGTTATAAAAATTTCAGCAAATAAAACATTTCAGTGCCTCCATTAATCCATATTTTTACAATTTAAAATAGAACTTACAGTCTCCATCATAACTTTTTTTTGCAACATAGCCATTTCTTTTTTAAGTTCACTTTGTGTGCCAGTAAATAGATTATCATTATTTTTCTCCACATCCTCCAAACTCTAAAACACAAAAAGGCCACTTTGGTCATAAACTGTAACTTTTAATCACAGGTTCAAAATTGTAAAATTTTCAAAAGTTAAAAACCTTTTAATTATTCAAATAATGCTCATTATTTACCCCAGCAGTCTAATTAACTCCTAAAGACCAAGTTTCCCACTATAAACAAGTAAAATATATCACACATATATCAACTGCAGTTATATAAAGTACAATAGTATCATCTTTGTCCCAAATAATAGTTTAATGAAATACTAAGGTCAAGGTGTTAAAAAGAAAAATGGGGGAGGGAGCTACACAAGATGGGAAAACTGAGAATTTGAGGCTAGTCTGGGCAACACAGGATCCTGTCTCAAAAGAAGAAAACAAAGTCCAGGAATAGAAACAGTAGAAAGGGATAAGACCATTTTGAAAATTTCTGCTAAGTTTCTTAAAACAGTATAATGTACTTATTGTGACTAAGACTCAATGTGACTGGAACTCACAAAAGGGAATAAAATATCTGAAGTATGAAGTCATTTCTCAAGTTATAAAAAAAATTATTAGATTATTTTAAGAATTGTTTATTACATTTCCATTCATTCAGTGTATATGTGTGTGTGTCAAATATATATGAGCCACTATATGTAGAGGACAACTTGTGGGTACTGGGTTCTCTCCTTCTGCCATGTGGGTCCTGGAGATTGAACTCTGCCTTAGTATTTTGTTTTTCTAGACAGGATATCTCATCATATAAGCAAGGCTCACCTCAAACTCTCTAATCCTGCCTCGGGCTCTCCTCTACTGGAATTAGAGGAATGTGCAATAACACCTAGCTAAAAAGTTTAAATTTTTTTAATATTCTTTCAACAAATAGTTGCCTAATATGTAAAGTATACTTTCTGTGTAGAAACTTAAAAAAAAGTAATACATGCTTGTTTCAATCAGAAAAATTATGTAAACAAGAATAATGTAACTTTATAAGTTATAAAAACAAGAATGGAAATGCAACTCCTATAGCTTTACAGTGGAATGCACAAATATTCCTACTTAGTGACAGAAGGTACATTATCTCATTAATTAAAAGGGAACTTGAAATATTCTATAGCAATAGTATAACTGAAGCATGGAAATACGTAAGTATGGATTCAGAGAAAGCAATTATGTAGAAAGTTTGGAGTACTAGACATGTATAATTTGTGAAGCTTGAATTTTTCAAGGGAAATCCTAAATACTTAAAAATTCAGAACAGGAGTACATTTTCAGGAAGGAGGTTTCAGAAAAATATATGGCAGACTCGAAGAAAGGAATGAAGGAAAGAGAAATCAGTTGAGAGTTTTAATAGACTAAGGGTGATAAGAGAGTGAAATAGTACAAGCAGCGAACAAACAAATGTAATAGCATAAATTAAAGACATAATGAACCACTGCAGAGGTAAGAATTCTAGAACAATATAATAGTAACAATATAAAATTAAAAAGGATACAGAGTACTCTTTTAATCCCAGCACTTGGGAAGAAAAGCAGGAGGACCTCTGTGAGTTAGAAGCTAGCCTAGTCTACATAGCAAGTTTCAGGGTAGCCAGGCTATAAAGTGAGCCCTGTCTCAAACAAACACAAAAACAAAAAGACATACAACAAAAACATGTTACCATGTGTAACTCACCTTTATGAACTGCTCATGTAGCTGTTTGATTGTTTTCAGTCTCTGGCTCTGAACAATTCTAGACTGCTGAAAAAGCTTCTGTTGTTGACGAAAAAGATTCTGTAAACACATTTAAAAAAAAACCTGTAGTAATAATTGGTGTTTTTGCTGTTGTGGGCTTCATGCATGCTAGGCGAACACTTAAGCTCTGAGCTCTATCAGAGCCTTATTTTTAAATTTAGCAAAATACTTCCATATTAAACTTAAAGGCAGTTTAAGGTTAATATTAGTATTTTAACAACTATTATGACTAGGTTTAAGTACTTTTTACCACTAATATGCACTATAATAATCCTATCAGTCAATGAGGATAAATATTTCTAACTATTTTGCGTACCTGAGTATAGTATAGGTATTGGACCCCCTGAAACTGGAGTTAAAGGCAATTATGAACTACCATCTGAGTGCAGAGAATGAAACCCTGTTAGTCTGCAAGAGCAGTAACAGCTCTTTACCTCTGAGCCATTGCTCCAGCCCCTTTTTGAGACTAGGTTTCACTATGTTGCACAGCCTGACTTGGAACTTGTGACTGACTCTCCTACCTCAGCCTCCTAAGTAGCTGGGATTACAGGCATAAGGCACCATAAAAGATTGAATAGGAAATCTCAGTGTTCAAGGTTTTGAGGCAGGGTTCAAGTTGGCCTCAAATTTACTATGTGGTCAAAAATGGCCTTGAACTGCTGGGTCCCTCTGCCTCACAAATGCTGGGATTATAAGCATGTTTTGTTTTATTTAGTAAGTCATCAGAGTGGAAAGTGAAAACCACACTTGGTTTATGAAGTACTGGGGATCAAACACATGGCTTGTGCATGCTCGAGTCTACTATCTGATACACATCCTCAGCCCCAAGACTATCTTATTTTTAGTAATTTCAACGTCTTACACAGATGATTTCTAAATGTTCTTTTAGTTCCTTAATCTATTCTCCACCAATGGCTTTGTCTTCTAGCCTCCTAATCCATTCACTTACATTCTTATATTCTAGTTTTGCCATTATAAATGGTATAACCTTTCTATAGTATTGTAATAACAAAATATATTGTGTACTATATTAACTATTTTGAGCCCCTTAAGTACATACCACACACACACACACACACACACACACACACATATATATGAACTCAGTGCTCTACAACTATTTGGCATGGGTATTCATTGTCAGTTACATCCCAAGCTGAAGGAAACTAAAACATAACAGTAAATTATTTGTTTCACAGCTATGTTCAAGCAGAATTTGGCTCCAAATAGGTTACTATAATCCAGGCTCTAACTGTACATATGGTTTCCCCAGCATATTGTATAGTCAACCACTGCCTGCTTACTACTCTGGCTTACTTTTTAGTACTATAGCTCAATCTTAGTTCAGGACTAAAATTGCATTCTTCCTTTTACTGTATTTCCCAGATTAAGTTCTATAATACTCCTTTGCATATACACCTTGTCACCTTCTTAGTCACATTTACTTGGATAAATCCCTATCTTGTAAAATTCAACTGTAATTACTCTGACATGGTGGTATTACTTTTCACTATCTGATGACCTTACTTAAATAAAACAGACTCCAAAGAGAACAGTTTTTCATCACCATTTGTATCTACCACCCATCTATCTATATCTACTTGTACTCATATACTCCATTTCTTGTTTCTAGGGATGACTGTACTTAGTCCACCTTCATGTGTTTTCCATTCTCAAGAATTAAGCAATTTCCCCCTTTCTGTTACTATTGAATTTCTCTTTGTAGCCAGACCTGGTGGTACAGGCCTATAACCCTAGCTTCTTTCAAGGCTAAGGCAGGAGGGCACAAATTGAAGCCCTACATAGACTATAGCGTACAAAAATAGTCTGGGTATCTTGGTGAGATCTTGTCTCAAAATGAAAGGTGAAAACGAGGACTGAGAACATATAGTGTAGTGGTAGGACAGTTGAGGCCTAGGTTCAATCTGCAATACCAGAAATAAATTTCTTCCTCTAGATTCCTGTCAGCACATAAATATGCTGTTTCACTTAATCTTTAAAAAGTGAAACAGCTGGTCATGGTTGTCACACCTTTAATCCCAGTATTTGAGAAGCAGAGGCAGGTGGAGCTCTGTGAATTAAAGGCCAGCCAGGACTACACAGTGAGACCCTGTTTCAGAAAAACAAAACAAAAAGAATGACGGGGATTGCCTTCCATCACCAGGGGAGATAGAGAAATAATACAACCTGGATATTCATAAACCATATTCTTGCATGGGGGTTATAGCTCAGTGATAGCATGTTTTTGTAGGCTGCACAAAGCATCTGGATTCATTCCCCAGCACTCATGGGGGGCGGGCGGGAGGGGGGGGACAGGGGGGACAAGTAAACACTGATTGGTTAGGGATGAACAAATGATCCAAACTAGATTAATGATGTTCCGCCATGTGAATTTTCTGCAAAGATATTCAGAAAGATTGTCTCAGTCTATGCAGTCACTAATTTGTAGTAGGTTTAGGCCTGGGAGAATTAACTTAGTAGATTGAAAGTTCATAGAGGCTTAGCAGCAGAGCCCAGATGACACTAAAATAAGCAACCCTTCCCCACCCCCAATTCAACTGTCTAAAGATAACTTACCCCCCAAATCCAGTAATTCTTTTATCCATTGACAAGTTTCTTTTACTTAAAAATGCAAGGATATCAGCTATTAAGACCAATGCTTTTAGGAATATTGTATGCACCTATACTTCTGTGGTTTATGATTTGGCAATAGTAAAACATGTAGCCAACAATGGGTAATATAACTTATCTTAGTTCCATGGACATAAAATATGACCAGGGTCTCATTTCTACTTGAGGTTTAATTATAATAGACTAATTAATATAATATAATATAATATAAACTAATTATAATATAATATAATATACTAATTATAATAGACTAAAGTCAGTTGTAATACTAACAGTTAGTTTTTCTCCTTGTTCCTCAAATTTCTGCATATCCAGTTCCCACTGCTGCAACACACTCAAAAATTGCTGAGAATATTCACTGTTAAGCTTTTGTCTGTAAAAAAAACAATGAATTCTGTCAAATTTCATACCAGTGTGAAAATACCATTCAAAACAAATTCAATTCACATATTTTATGCTAGAAAAAGGAAACAATAGTTTAAATATTTTGATAAGAAAATTAAAAATAAAATTTAGGTTGATTTCAGTATTTTTTTTTTCCCTAACAGATGTCTTCTCACATGCTTTAGCTCTTGAAAACTAAGGAAGTTTTATTTTATGTTTTCCAGAAAAATTCACTTTTAATCTCCAAGGAATTTTTCATTTTTCCTACTGAATCTAATAGTTCTGATAAAGAGATTAAATTATTTCTGCCAGGCGGTGGTGGTGCACACCTTTGATCCCAGCACTTGGGAGGCAGAGACAGAGGCAGTCGGATCTCTGTGAGTTCGAGGCTAGCCTGGGCTACAGAGTGAGTTCCAGGAAAGGCGCAAAGCTACTCACGGAAAGCCTATCTCAAAATAAATAAATAAATAATTTCGCTTAGGTTGCCCCTCCCCTTATTCTGGCATGGCAAAGATTTAGTATGAAGAAATAGTCAAATTGGTTAAAATATGTAAGTTATTTACAATATAAAAACTGGATTTTTCTACATTTTTCACAGTTAACAATAGTTTCTACAACACCTACATCTTTTATTCAAGTTAACATATTTCCATAATGGATATAATTTAATAACCTCTCAGTTATTTAAAAAGAGAAATAATATTCACTGATTTCTAAGAAACATCTCAATTCTTTGAAGACATAAGGTTATAGGACTACTTGATTAGAAAAAAAAAAGCCAAGCATTTTCACTAAATAAGCAGATGATGCTATCTTCCATACATGATTTGCACCAGGACATACTAAGAATTAATAAAGATATAGCTCTTTTAAAACCTTACATTTCCTCTTGTTGTGTTTTCCAAATTTGCTCGATTTTCTGGTTACTGGCTTTGAAAGAAGCTTTAGTGTACATTTCTATTCTTTTTCTTTTGGCAAGAAGAGCTTTGTTGATGTCAGCTATATTGAAAATAAAAACAAATTTAATGTTGAAGAAAATGATTTTGTTCCATATAATCAATTAAATGTAAGTATGGGTTAATTCAACAATATGGTGGCACATGCCTTTAATCCCAGCACTTGAAGGCAGAGCTCTGCAGGTGGTCTCTCTGAGTTGTAGGCCAGCCTGGTCTACATAGTGAGTTCTAGGGCAGCCAGGAAACATACAGACCCCTTGTCTCAAACAAAAAACAAACAAACCCAAAAACAAACACTTGCCCGACAACCTAAGTTTGATCCTGGGAATCCACAGTGGAAGGGACAAAACTGAGAGATGTAATCTCCCATAGTGGAAAAGGAGAATCCACTCCCAAGTGTCCTCTGACCTGAGCTGCACATGGGTGCCATAGAAAATATTAACCACACACACATCACACTCAAACACACATAATCATAAAATTTAAATTAAAACATTTTAATTTTAAAAATAGCACCAACATGTGCTTTTGAAAAACGTGCTTTAGAACACTTAGGATTTTGGATTTTCAGACTAGGGAAGTTAAGCCAATAAAGTCTATGCAAACATTATGAGACCAAAAATGGCTGAATTCTCAAAACATTTTTGGTCTTAAATGTTTTAGAATAAAAAATATGTAAGACATCCAACTTTATCTCAATTCTGATTTTTATAACTGAAGGTAAATTTAAAATTTACGGATGATAAGGAATGAGTAAAAAGAAAGGTCAAGGCCAGTCTTATGAATAAATGCTAGTAAAGGCTAAATATTTCTAAATTTATAGTACACCCTCCATTTGATAGGCCATACTTAGAGTACAATTGTTAGGACTGTATCAGAAATATTAAAGAATCCCAAAGAATTACTAATAAAATTTGTAAAATAAGTCAATACCATTAAACATTTTTAAAAAAGCAGTCTTAGTGTATTATTTAGATAATGCATCTTGGAATACCTTTTAATACTTTAATGGAAGATTATTATTATTATTATTATTATTATTATTATTTTGGTTTTTCGAGACAGGGTTTCTCTGTGTAGCTTTGCACCTTTCCTGGGACTCACTTGGTAGCCCAGGCTGGCCTTGAACTCACAGAGATCCGCCTGGCTCTGCCTCCCGAGTGCTGGGATTAAATTAAAGGCATGCGCCACCACCGCCCGGTAGAAGATTATTTTTTGTGCACTGGGTTTTTTGTTTTGTTGAGATGGGGTTTCATGGCACAGTCCTGGCTGGCCTGGAACTCACCATGTAGACCATGCTGGTATTGAATTCAGAGATCCATCTGCCTCTGTTTTCCAAGAGCTGGGTGTGTGCCACGAAGCCCAGTTCACAGTTTTTATAGGGCATTTTTTATCACTAATAAGTATGGCAGTTCATAAAACACTTAATACCTCAAATAATGTTTACTATGTATCTACCTTTTGCCATAAAAGTTACCTTTGGTGACTATGGTGTAACTATAATATTTATTTGCATTTCCAGCATTTATAGTAAGTTTATAAAACAAGCATTTGCCGGGTGTGGTGGCACACTCCTTTAATCCCAGCACTTGGGGGGCAGAGGCAGATGGATCTCTGTGAGTTCAAGGCCAGGCTGGTCTGCAGAGTGAGTTCCAAGACAACCAGGGTTACACAGAGAAAGAAACCCTGTCTTGAAAAACCAGAAAATAAGCATTTTGCTACTACCAAATAGGGCAATTATTAAAGATTAAAAAAAAAATAAGACTTAACAGTATGAATAATCCTTATAGGAAACAAATTTTTTTTAAAGTATTTTGGGGCTGGTGAGATGGCTCAACAAGTAAAGGTGCTTGCAGCCAAGTCTGACAACTTGAGTATGATTCCCAGGATCCATCCATATGGTAGGAGGTAAGAGACTCCAGCAAGTTGTCATCTGCCCTCCACAGATGCATCATGACATGCTGCCTACCTCTCTCCCCGAAATGTAAAAAAAAAAAAAAAAGTATTCTCTTAAACCAGGCAAGGTGACTGATACCTGTAACCCCAGCACCCACAAGGCTAAAGCGGTGCCCAGTTTAGGGAAGCCTGGACTAACTAGCAAGTTGCAGCCAGCCTGACCCTGTCTCAAGAGAAGCAAATAAGCAGAGTGCTGTCTTCTAATTAAACTCATACAAAAACATTTAAAACTTAAGGTCTTTGGCTCTGATTATAAATCTCTTAATGGCTGAAAAAGTTATCATTTACTTTCAATTACATAATTTATTACTATAAAAATAACAGTTCTCTTATGATGCTTTAGTTTATATCCTTTCCCATAAAGGAAAGAGCACAAGAAGAATCCTAAAAAGTAAGTGAATGACATACTTTGTGAATATAATAAAAGTAGAAAAAACTTTTCCTCTCTATTTTTCTAAAATTCTTAAAAGTACATTAACTTTTCATATCATGAAAAAGGATTAAGAAAGAAAAATCTCCTAGCACTTGGGAGGCAGAGGCAGGCAGATCTCTGTGAGTTCGAGGCCAGCCTGGTCTACAAAGTGAGTTCCAGGAAAGGTACAAAGCTACACAGAGAAACCTTGTCTCGAAAAACCAAAATAAAACCCGACCAAAAACCTAAAAAACCCCAAAAGAGACAGAAAAATCTACGATGCTAAATCATGTTTATGTATAACCCTATAAATGAGAACAAGGCATTAAACACTATTCACACTATACAGTTTTAAACAATGTTCTTTAAATTATCTCCCAAAAACATACCTCCAAATTTTTCCAGCATATTCTGTACTTCACCTCTGTGAAAAATTACATTTAAAAAATTAAGACCAGGAATGTAATTCAGCGACAGAACATTTGCCCATGTGCATAAGGCCCTAGGTTTGATCCCTAGCACCATCAAAAATTAAAAAAAAAACCAAAAAACTTTTAATTAGAGATTCACAATACCACATATCAAGTATTTTATATCACTACTTGCTAGATACACTGAAGTAAATTTTTCTAAAGTAATTTATTGAACAAAGAAAACATCTTTGGGGCTTGAGAAATAGCTCAGTTAAATGCAGCAAGCATGAATACGTATCTCAACACCCACATAAAGTGCTTAGTGTGTGCTTAGTGTGTGTGTGTGTTTGCGCGCGCGCATGCTCACCCTCAAATTTAACATCTTACCCCACATCTTCAACTATTCCTCCAGCTCTTTTCTTTCCATGTTTTTCAATTACTGGAATCTTTTCTGTATTAACAAAATAAAATTTGAAACTAAGTATGCTATTTTGGTAAGTTTTAATGGAGTCTATTTTCAGTTCTTTCAGGGTTTTGTAACAAATTTTAAAAGCAGATATGCAAATATACTATTTTCTCTGAAAAATGCAATCACATCACAATTCACAAACCATTTTATAGAAGCAAATTTTCAGGTTAAACCAGGTCATGCACTATATTTATCAAGTTATTGACACTGCAAAGATAATGGATATAGAGATCTGAAGATCTGATGAGAAAGTATGTGAAAATGCTTCTTTTATTCAGTTTTAAGTGTAGCGGGTTCAAAACAAATGAACTCTAGGACACTGTTAATACCCAACATTAGAGATATTTACCATCAGCAACATCCTCCTCAGAACCAGTCAGATCTTTATCTTCTTTCTCAAAGTCAAAGGCTTTAGGCTGATCCACCAATGATGGCTTCCCAGATTTCCCAGAAAGCTTTTTTCCACCAGGCACCATCTTTAGTTTCCTTGTTTAGAAAAACAAAAAAACAAAAAAACAAACAGCAGCCCCCCACCCCAAATCTCTCAAACTGTCTGAATTCAAAGACATCATTTAAGTAAACTTTTTTTATATATATAATTGGGGGGAGGAACATATGGAGGGCCGAGTCAACTTGAAGGAGTCAATTCTCTTCCACCAATTGGGTCCTCAGGATTAGGACTCAAGTGAGGCTTGAAAGCAAGCACCTTTACTAACTGGGCCACCTTGCCAGCCTGATTTCCTTTTTTGTTGTACCAAAAGTTAATAGTTTATTATTTATATATTTTAAAAGAAGAAAAACACCAGTGTTCAAGTGATAGCTTGAACATTTGACTCCAAATATGTTTGTTTGCATGCAGCTACTAGATCTGAATTTTGGCCCTACCTGTCAGACAGTTTTGGTTAAGTTTGCATCTCAGAAATCATGGTTACCAACAGGACAAATCACAAGCAATCCAAAAATTGGTGTAGCAATATAAATCTAGAATCTATAGCTCTACAGGACTGGGAATGTAGCTCAGTTATATAGTGCCTATGCAGGGGGCCTTGAGTCCCATCTTTGGCACTGCACAAACATAGGCATAAAATGCACAGTGGTTACATAAGGAGTTTCAGCACCTGGGTTACAGCACCGAGACTGTCTAAACCAAAAAAAAAAGTGTCACACACCAGGCATTGCAGTACTTCAGAGCCTACTTTAGAGAAAATCTTCCAGACCTTGGGAAAGTAATACCCCTATAAAACTTCCATAGTATGCATATTAAAGTAAATGAAAGGGGTCTTGCAGAGTGGGCAGAATTAGCACATTGAAGACCTCTTCTCATTTCCCCCTCAGTCATAAGTGCCTTAATTCCCTTAGCTCCCAGCCCCTCCAGTCCACCAACTCCCCAATCCTTGTTCTCATGCTCCCAGTCCTATTCTTTTAGCCCCTATTCCTTTAACCATCAGTCCCCTCAGCCCATTATCACTCCCTAGTCCTCTATTCCTTCCAGGCCCTCATTCTAGAGACCTACAGTGTCACTAGCCCCTCAGCCACCCATACAGCCCCTCATCTATCTATTCTCAACTCCTCAAACACCCACGCCTCAGTCCTCCATCCATTCAGCTCTCATTGCCCTGCTCCAAGTCTTTCCTTCTCTCACACTACATTCCCTTTCACTGAACTCCCCAGCCCCAATTCCTGAAGCTCTCCAGTGCCTTTAGCCCCAAGTCTCTCAATCAGAACTCTTCATTTCCTCAAACCCAATCCCTTATCCCCCCAAAGGCACATTCTCTCAGCCTCCAACTCCTAATTTCCTCATCCCACACAACACCCAACTTTCTCAGCCCCCAACTCCCTAGTCGGCCTCACCCACAAGCCCTAACTTTCTCACCCCAAACCTCAATTCTCTCATATAAGTCCCTCAGTTCCCAAACACTACTTCCCTTAAACTTCCCCTTACCTGCCACACCATCAGTCTTTAACTCGCTCAACACCAACCAACCAATAATTCTGCCACTCCCCAGCTCAATTTTAATTCTCTCAAACACAACAAACCTTAATCCCCTCACTCAGGATTCCTAATTAATTTGGCTCCCACCCCCAATTCCCTCAGGGCAATCACTAACTCTCTAGCCCAATCACAAGTTCCCTCAGCCTCCAACAACCTAGCCCTGAACTACTTGTTCTCTCAAGCTCCGGCCCCTGTTCCCTTACCTCACCTCACACCTACTCCTCGAAGTCCCACCCTCCACCTCTAGCCCTTCATTCCCTCATCCTCACCCGGTTTCTCTCAGCTCCCAGCCCCTCTAACGAATGCTCTAGTCCCTCCCTCACCCCATGCCGAGGGCCCTCAGCCCCAGCATACCTAATCCATCACCCTCTAATTCCCTCACGACCAAACCATCACCCACAATCCTTCATTCCCTTAGCCCCAATTCCCTCACCTCAACTCAGAACTGCCTCAGCACCCAACAATTAATTCTCTAGGCCCTCGGCCCTCATCTCAAATTTTTTCGGTGCCCAACCCCTACCTGCTCCCTAGACCGTAGCTCACAATCCCATGCCCAAACCCCTCATATTCTCAGGGCCTGGCCCCTAAATCAGATTTCTCCATCCCAGTCCCCCATCCCAATCCCAGATTCCCTAGGCCCCGCCCCCACCTCCCTACGCCCTGACCCTAACTCCCCAGGCCCCGCCTCCTCACCGCCTTAGCCCTTGACCCCTAACTCCCCAGGCCCCGCCTCCTTGTCTCCTTAGCCCTTGACACCTAACTCCCCAGGCCCCGCCTCCTCGTCTCCTTAACCCTTGACCCCTAACTCCCCAGGTCCCGCCTCCTCGTCTCCTTAACCCTTGACCCCTAACTCCCCAGGTCCCGCCTCCTCGTCTCCTTAACCCTTGACACCTAACTCCCCAGGCCCCGCCTCCTCACCGCCTTAGCCCTTGACCCCTAACTCCCCAGGCCCCGCCTCCTCACCGCCTTAGCCCTTGACCCCTAA